GGCTGAGGAATGTATCTGGTGTAAGCCGTGGATTTCCATCGGCCTAATATTTTAATGATGTGCGCCGGGATATTCCTTTTAGAAGCTGTAGTAGCTGCTCCTATTCTGAATGAGTGACCAGAATAGTTGGCTGGGTTCAAGGCTAACCGAACCAACAATATTTTTACGTAGAGCATGAACTTACTCGTAGTGAGCCTATTACCGTGTAAGGCTAGCAGTGGTTGTGTTGGAGCCACTGTAACGATGGAGAGGTATTTGTCGAAAACTTCCAAAGGACACCATTTATTATTAGTGGGGTAATATGTAATAGTGACCCTCTGTCCTTTGGCGCTAGTTTTTGTATGGTGTAGTGACAGTAAATAGTGATCGTGTGATTTCACCAGGTTTGACCTAGTGATGAAATTGGGGGAGTTGTACTTAGCAGTGGTAAATTCTTTGGGCCGAAGAAAACCGTAAAAAGCCAAGTAGATGGTTGTTTTAATGACATGGTTAGTATGAATTTCAAATGGAGAGGTGTCTAACAGGTTTGACAGTGACTGAAACAATAGATCGTTGATGGGTAATCTGGATGGTGTGGGTATAGGGGTGGAGTCCTTGATACCTTTAAGTATGGCTTTCACTTGGTAAGATGACAAAAATCGTTGTCTATGAGGCCAAGTGGTGAGGATGTGATGTTGAATACCGGTAATATATAACTTAATGGTATTGAATGATAGTGTTAGGTGAAGGTGGCAAAAGGAAATGAATGCAATCATTGTCTCCATGGAAAATTGGTCTGTGATATTAAAGTCCAGCAAGAATCTATTAAAAGTATGAAAAGCCCTGCCATATGCCTTCCTGGTGTTATCGGAGAGAACAAGTTGAGAGAGTTGCCGCCCATGAATGAGTAGTTCTTTTAGTCCCAAACCATCTCCTGCCACCGCGGTACCGGAGTTGGTATCAGGGTAGCTGTTGGTAGGGCTGCCCGGAACTCCTGAAACCGAGATCGTGATAAGTGATCAGCAGCGATATTCAGAACCCCAGGCACATGTATGCAAGTTGAGAGAAAACTGTGTTTTGCAGCTAGCCATGTGAGAGTTCTCATAAATCGCATGATGGCCAGGGAAGAGGAACGTCCCTTGTTTACAATATGGCACGTTGCCATGTTGTCCGAGAAGCAACGCACCGTATTCCAAGACCAGCAAGCCCCCCATTTAACTGCTGCTGCCACGATTGGGTAAAGCTCAAATAATGCTGAGGTGTCCTTGAACTCTGGGATCTCAGTGATTTCCCCTGGCCATTTACCCCACATCCATTCATTGCCAAAAATTACGGCAAATCCAGAAGTGGCAGCGGCATCCGTCCAGACAGACATAGACCTATCTGTCCATACTGGAATAAAAATGCTTTTCCCATTCCATTTCAGCAAAAATTCCCTCCACATGCGTAGGTCAGCGGTGGCATGTATATCTAACATAACGCGGGAGGAATCAAATTGTAATAGGGAAAAAAGGCTAAGTAAGCGGGATTTGAATGCTCTCCCCTGTGGAATAATTTTCATTGCAAAATTAAGTGAACCCAACATGGATTGTAACTCCTTATTACAAGAACCCCCTGCTAGGTAATGGTCAATGGCTGAAAGGATGCGTTCAATCTTCTCCGGGGAGGCTGGCCTGCATATGCAAGTTGATGATCGTATCCGGACCTTCAGTCTTTGTTGGTGAAATGGGTACTCCTAGTTGTGTGAACAGTCGTGTTATAGAACGGAGACTACTGGGAGGTAACAGGTTACTTTCTATGGTCAGAAAATCATCTAGGTAATGGAAAACGGTGGGGCATTTACAGATGTTAAGCAGCATCCAGCACAACGTCTCAGCAAAGATATAAAAAATCCTGGGGCTGCTCTTAGAACCAAACGTGAGACGTGTGAAAAAATAATATGAACCTTGCCACTTAACACCATGTAAATGCCACAGGGACGGATGGATAGGGAGTAACTTAAAAGCGTTCACTATATCCGTTTTGCTAAGCCATGCCCCTACCCCAGCCGAGAGGATGGCAGTGACGGCATTATCTATGGTAGCATATTGGAGAGAAAATTCTTCTGATGGAATGAGCGAGTTAAGACTTGGGGTAGGTGATGCATGGGGAGCAGAGAGGTCGAGAATTAACCTTTGTTTGTTGGATGATTTACTAGTGACCAGTCCTATGGGGTTAGTTCTCCAAACCGCGAATGGCGGGGAGTCAAAAGTGCCAATTAAGAATCCTTGTTCAATTTCTTTCTGGAGAAGCAGGTCAATTGTGTCGGGAGCTGTCTGTAAGTTTTTACATTCTAAGATTCCCGTAGGCATATGAATAATACCCGTGTGAAACCCAAAGGTAAACTCTGCCACCAAAAATTCTACTAGATGTTGAGATGGGTGACCACACAATAACTCTTTCAGCAGGGAGACATTAAGAGACGAAAAGTACTGCTTAGGATATAATTTATTTGGGCACATTACTTTAGAGTGAGCCCGGAAACATTGGGAGCAGACATGGAGTAGTCTGCAGGCACTGCATCCGCAAGTGCCAGTGTTAAAATTGTTACACACTTGTGATTTTCCCATAAACACTATATCACGTACCAGTTTATCCTTCAGCACCCTGCCTGTTCTCCCAGTGGGCATCATATTAGTAGGGGGAAATAAGGCATTTACCTCTGGAGAGTTAGAGCACAGATTAGCCTTGTGGGAGTTGGATGAGCAAATGGCACAAGCTGGGGTTTTTAGGCCCGCAAAGTGTCGACAAAAAAGCTCCGTATCAAGCACACCCCAATTAGCTTGATAATTGAACTGGGATAGAGCAGCTGACGCCTTTGCGGAAAAAGCACGGTGGTAGTCTTAAAAAGCCGAAAAGGCATTCAACCGGATACTCTGGCCATACTTATTCGCCACTCTGACAAAATTCGGCTTCCCCAGGGCTCTACTACAAGCACTCCGCACCCTCTACTCCACCCCAATGGCACGACTACTAATACTGAATGCCCGCCAGACCCTGTTCCAAATACACAACGGCACTAGACAGGGTTGCCCTCTGTCCCCCCTCCTCTTTGACCTCTCCCTTGAACCCCTACTGCAAAAGATCCAAAATGAGCCAGCTATTCAAGGCATCAAAGTAAGACAGGAGGAGTACAAGGTGGCGGCGTATGCGGACGACTTACTCTTGACCTTGACCAACCCAGTGACGACATTACCCCCCTTGCTAGCCTTGTTAGACGAATACGCACAACTTTCCGGATACAAACTGAACATAGAAAAGACTGAAGCCCTGACAATACAGATCCCTCCCCTCACTCGAACACATCTGCAACAGACTTACCCATTCCGCTTCCAAATGCATAGCATCCACTACTTAGGAGTCGACCTACCCGCGGACCTACAATCCACATACAGACTAAACTACCCCCCTCTAATCGACAAGGCCCAGAGAGACCTACAAACGTGGCAAAAACTATCCATCTCATGGCTAGGGAGACTGGCGGCGATCAAAATGAACTTGCTTCCACGATTTTTGTATCTGTTTCAAACCCTCCCCATTCCGCTCTCGAGAGCAGATTTTAAAAAGCTCCAAATGCACATAGACAAATTCATTTGGGCGGGAAAAAGAGCTAGAATAAAACGTATTACTCTGTACATCCCACACAAAAAAGGAGGGCTAGGCTTACCGAACCTCTGGGAGTACCACCAAGCATCCCAAATTGCCCAAATTCAAACCATGCATGCCCCACCAGGGGTAAAACGGTGGGTGGACCTGGAGCATGATCTCTTCGGACGCGATCTGCCAACACTCTACCTGTGGATACCAAAACCGCACAGACCACAGCCGCCAAACACGACACCAGCCCTCACGACGGCCATTCACACTTGGAACAGAGTGACCAACAAGTACAACCTAATAAACACGCCCTCACCCCTAATGCCCATACTGAGAAACCCCCAATTTACCCCGGGAATGGCACCCAAACACTTTATACGCTATGATGATAACGAACTCACTAGAATCTGTCATTTTTACCACGATAACCGACTCATTCCCTTCCCGGACCTACCAAACAAAACACCATATAATACGTTCGATCATTTCCAATACCTCCAGCTCCGAAGCTTCCTATCAACCCCCAGCATAGCTGCAGCGGCAGTGCTGAGGCCAACCGCATTTGAAAGGGGGTGCCTAAGCAACCCGATACACAAGGGCCAGATTTCCGACATATACAATACCCTGGCACTTAAACCCCCCCACGAAGCCTTCTCCTATGTAAAAGCCTGGGAAAGAGACCTGGGACCTCCTGGGGACCCGACGGACTGGGCAGACATTTGGGAAGCAACAGCGACGGTAACCATATGTGTGAACCACAAGGAGCAGGCATATAAAACGCTTACCCCCCTGAGACTTAAACATATGAAACGCATAGACACGGACAGATGCTGGAAAGGGTGTGGCGAGCAGGGAACATACATCCATATGTGGTGGGAATGCCGGCACATAACCCATATATGGACAGAAATGGCCGCCATCACCTCGAAAGCACTACAAACCGACGTCCCTCTAGACCCGTGGACCTGGCTGTTGTCGAAACCATACGAAAACCTGACCCAAGCACAAAATAAGCTAGTAGCAAAGGTGGCCTTAACTACACGTAGAGCAATCGCGACCCATTGGGGGAGCCCGGAGATCCCAGCGATCCCGGAGGCCCGGAGAAAGATCCAGGAGACTATGGAAATGGACAAACTGTCCGCGCTAATACACGAAAATACCAGATCCTTCCACAAGATCTGGGACCCCTGGTTGGCATTGGAGTGAAACCTGTCTGGCGGGGGCGGGCGGGGGGGGACGGAACAGACAACCCCCCTCCCCTCCACAACCCTCTGATTTCTCGCACCAACACCACCACACCCCGACGCACCCCTACTTGCCGAGACCACCCACACGAAACCACACCCACAACAAACACACACAAAAAACTTTTGATCTGAACCCAGCGAAAATTCACTCGAACACCACATAAAGTCGCAAGGACTTGTGGGCAACCCCAACTCGAGACGAGGTACTCGAGACGAACCCAGAGGTACCACCGCATCACCCCACCCACAGAGACGGATGACCAAAACAACACCACCAGGAACGGGAACGCGGCTGGCAATGCGAAACCTCCACCCACCCCGTTTTTCCCGACCCCAAATAACCACAGCAGTAAGCATGAATGAAGAATGAATGCAATAGGATCAACTTCCAAACTGAAAGTGTAACCTTATCTGTTGAATTTTGTTATAACCCCCTTTTCTCTTCTGCATCCCATACAATTGATAAGCTCATGAAAGACACATGAAAATTCAAAATAAAGAATTTACAAAAAAAAAAAAAAGACATACCACCATACTTGTGCCCCAAATCCACCAGCTTGTGGAGATAGAGATCCAATTCTTCTCTCCTATCTGGATATACAGAGCATATAACGTCTCTGTAGATCCCGAAAGCCAACACAAATTCGGGTATGGACATCTTGCGATTCAACATAGGGTCCCTAGATTTCAACACCACTGACACATCCCCATATGCATAGGTTTTGTTTTCAAGGACATCTTGCGAAGCAATAAGAAGTGATACCAGATTGATATCTTTCCCTTCCAAGATGTCCTTTTTAATGTTTGCAGGCACCATATGTGCCGGGTTAATAATATGTGGGTCCTTCAGACCGGTTGGAATATTACCCGGTAGGGGTTCTGGGCGAATAGTAGCGATCGGATTCTCCAGTGCCTAAGGTGACCGTTGCTGGCTATCTGCATCCATCTTATCAAGTTTGAGAAAAAAAAGGTATAAACAATATACCAGCAAGTGGAGCGCTATATTGAATATATATATAAATAATGAGGGGGTATACTCACCCCTCCAACATAGTGATACAATGTGTCCAAATGTACATACAAAGTAAAACAACAAAAAGAGAGAATATAGTGCAGATGGTTTACAAAAAATAAAAAATGAATAATGGTAGCAATTGGTTGAAACCACTCACGTGGGTTGGAGCCTATAAGCTATTGGCTCCGTAAGTGACTCCTTCTTGCTCTTGAGGCAGCAACACACCCCTTTATCCCAAACGATATTCTCCCGAAGATATGGAACAAACAGAGAGAGAACCTCATAGATGGTATTGTACAGATGGTGTATACAATATAGTGAGATAGTAATAGATATGCTCACCTTAGACAGAGCCTTGAATTCCTGGCTCTGAGGTTTGTTGGCAATGTGCTAATTTATTGGGATAGCATTCCCCACATGGTGTCCCTGGAGGCTAGAAAGGACTATATGGACTAATATAAAAAAAAATAACAATTTATTGTAGAGATAAAAAAATAATAATAAAAACAATATTTAGACTTCTCAAAAGCACATAAGCTAAATGATGGAAAGTCCAAGAATAAAAGTCCAAACTCCAGCTAAACGCGTTTCACTCTTGTATGAGCTTCCTCAGTAGCTGTGAAGTAGCCTCAGGAATCTTCCACTTTATAAGTGCTCTAAAGTTGATTCGGATCCTCCCTTTGAGGTCACAGGATGTGTGATTATCCAATCATAAGATCAGAGTCTCTTTCAAATTTCTTATATTAATCACCTGTAGTAAAAAAGCTTACATTGGCTAAATTGCCTGTCAATCAATCAAAAAGCTTGATTATTATTGGTGGTTGGATGGTGCTGTATTTTTCAAATTTCCTATATTGATCACCTGTGGTAAAAAAGCTTGCATTGGCTGAATTGCCTGTCAATCAGTTAAAAAACTTATTCTATTGGTGGTTGGATAGGGCTATCTTTCTCAAAAAAATTTTTTTATACTGATCACCTGTGGTAAAAAGGCTTTCATTGGCTGAATTGCCTGTCAATCAATTAAAAAACTTGATTAGAACAAATTCTATTGGTGATTGGATGGGGCTGTCATGTATAGCACCCATTCAGGGCAGTGGTTGGCGGAAGTGACATCACTTCCGCCCTCCAACATCTTCCCAAATGTCATTGTTAATAAAAAAAAAAAAAAAAAAAAAAAAAAAAAAAAAAAAAAAAAAAAAAAAAAAATTTGAGAAAGACAGCCCTATCCAACCACCAATAGAATAAGTTTTTTAATTGATTGACAGGCAATTCAGCCAATACAAGCTTTTTTACCACAGGTGATCAATATAGGAAATTTGAAAAATACAGCACCATCCAACCACCAATAATAATCAAGCTTTTTGATTGATTGACAGGCAATTTAGCCAATGTAAGCTTTTTTACTACAGGTGATCAATATAAGAAATTTGAAAGAGACTCTGACCTTATGATTGGATAATCACACATCCTGTGACCTCAAAGGGAGGATCCGAATCAACTTTAGAGCACTTATAAAGTGGAAGATTCCTGAGGCTACTTCACAGCTACTGAGGAAGCTCATACAAGAGTGAAACGCGTTTAGCTGGAGTTTGGACTTTTATACTTGGACTTTCCATCATTTAGCTTATGTGCTTTTGAGAAGTCTAAATATTGTTTTTATTATTATTTTTTTATCTCTACAATAAATTGTTATTTTTTTATATATTAGTCCATATAGTCCTTTCTAGCCTCCAGGGACACCATGTGGGGAATGCTATCCCAATAAATTAGCACATTGCCAACAAACCTCAGAGCCAGGAATTCAAGGCTCTGTCTAAGGTGAGCATATCTATTACTATCTCACTATATTGTATACACCATCTGTACAATACCATCTATGAGGTTCTCTGTTTGTTCCATATCTTCGGGAGAATATCGTTTGGGATAAAGGGGTGTGTTGCTGCCTCAAGAGCAAGAAGGAGTCACTTACGGAGCCAATAGCTTATAGGCTCCAACCCACGTGAGTGGTTTCAACCAATTGCTACCATTATTCATTTTTTATTTTTTTGTAAACCATCTGCACTATATTCTCTCTTTTTGTTGTTTTACTTTGTATGTACATTTGGACACATTGTATCACTATGTTGGAGGGGTGAGTATACCCCCTCATTATTTATATATATATTCAATATAGCGCTCCACTTGCTGGTATATTGTTTATACCTTTTTTTCTTGTATTTTGCATTTTCTTGTATTTTGCACTTCATTGTGGATTAAGGTATTCCACTTTTTGTGTTGAGCTGCTTTTATTCAGGCACTTTAGTATATCACTCACTATCTCAGTAAGGGATAGTTTTTGTTATCTTATCAAGTTTGGCCGTAATATGACACAAAGAGGCAGGGCCGGATTAACATAGGGGCTGATGGAGCTGCAGCTCCAGGCCCAGGCCCAGGCCCAGGCCCAGGCCCATGGAATAGGCCCATTTAAAAAAAATGCACACTACTCTTAGGTTTGCCACCTGACTGGTATTTTACTGGCACAGCCGGTATTTAAGGCCTGGCCATGCTGGTATTGCAGTAATACCGGCAATACAACACAGGTATTTTTCTCAGTATAAATGGAGATTACTCTGCAATACCAGCACCGGCCAGTAGGGGTCACTGTGTGTGAAGAGAGGCAGGGATAGAAAGTTACAGCATATCCCTCTCTGCCTCTCTCTGCTACTCACTGATCCGTGGGGGAGCAACAACACAGCACAGAGAGTCAGCTCTACAGCTCAGATAAGTGAGGGATAGGGGGGAAAGGCAGCAGGGACACATGGGGATACTGAGACACTAGGGAACACTGAGACACTAGGGGACATATGGGGACACAGACACAAGGTGACACATACACTAGGAGACACATGGGGACAAAGACACTAGGGGACACAGACACTGGGAGACCTGGAAACACTGGGACACAGGAAAACATGGGGACACTGACACTTGGGGACACTGGAAAACATGGGGACACTGAGACACTAGGGTACACTGGGACACATGGGGATGCTGTGAGACATAGGGACATTGGGAGACACTGAGACATTGGGACACGGAGACATTTCTCCCAGTGTCCCCATGTCCCCCATCCAGTGTTGCTAGAGTCTCAGTGTCCCCAAGTCTCCCAGTGTCTGTGTCCCATGTCTCTCAGTGTGCCCAGTGTCCCTATATGTCCCAGTGTCCCCATGTCTATGTCCACAACTGCCCCATGTCTCCCAGTGTCCCCAAGTGTCTGTCTCCCAACCAGTGTCTCCATGTCTCTGTGTCCCTAGTGTCTTAGTGTCCCCAAATGTTTCAGTTTCCCCATGTCTCCCAGTGTCTGTGTCTCTAGTGTCTCAGTGTCCCCATTTCTCACAGTTTCCCTAAATGTCTGTGTCCCCATGTCCTAGTGGGCAACATGGGGACACTGACACTGTGATACATAGAACACTGAGACATTGGGTGACTTGCGAGACTGAGACACTGGTAGCAATCCATCTATACAGCAGAATCAACCTGTGAGTAGTTTGTTGGTGATTTTACAGAATTTTCTCTGATGTCACTCCTTGTGATTATACAAATGATTAAGGCTGGTATTTTTTTCCAAGAAAGGTGGCAACCCTAACTACTCTTCACATACTCTTGCTTAAAAGAGCACTATAGGGTCAGAAACACAATCATGTATTTCTGACCCTATTATGTTAAAACCACCACCCTGGCCCCTTCTTGCCTCCCTAAGTATAGTAAAATATAACTTGTATTCAAGTCTGCAGCTGCTGGCTCTGCCTCTGAACTGACTGTCTGCTGACATCATCAGAAGTGGTGGTCTGAGCAAATTACAATACTTCCCCATAGGATTGGCTGAGACTGTCAACTAGGCAGATCAGGGGCAAAGCCAGCACAAGTCCAACATAGCTCTGGCCAATCAGCATCTCCTCATAAAGATAAATTGAATCAATGCATCTCTATGAGGAAAGTTCAGTGTCTGCATGCAGAGGGTGGAGACACTGAATGGCAGTGCTGCACACTAGGCAGTACTGCCCCAGGAAGCACCTCTAGCAGCCATCTAAGGAGTGGTCAGTGGAGTTATTTTTTCTGAAAAGACAGTGTTTACTGTAAAAGGCCTGAACGGAATGATTCTTCTCACCAGAACAAATACAACAAGCTGTAGTTGTTCTGGTGACTATAGTGTCCCTTTAAGTTTGTAAGCTTAAGAGGAATGTATGGGAACAAAACTTGTGTGGACTGGATGACAATAAAATTAGTTTAGGTAATGCAGACATTGGCCTCTCTAACACTGTGGCATGTCCCCTTTCTTCTACACTCACTACATACATCTTTTCTCTGTCCCAGATTATATACCAGGAGCTTCTGCCTGCTAGTAAGAAGGTAAGGAGATAAGTGGACCAGCGAGTGCCAGGGGACAGTCCTTAGAAAGCATGGAGTGAGCGCATCATTAGATGCATGTATGTCAAGCTCAGGGTGCTGCCTGCATAGTATGCCCTTAGTTGGACAGCCTGCAGGATAGGCGGGCAGCCTGACATGCATTCATGCAAGGCTGTCCTTCAAATTCTTTGGACAGACATGCCCCCTTTTTGGGCATGTTCACCCCTTTTGGCAGGTCTGGTCACGTGATTCGCACCAGTGGCCCACCCTTTTACCCCGCCTATTGACTTCCTGCTTCACTGGACACTGCTGTTAGGGGGTATGGATTTACTTGAAAGATGAAAGCATAAATTAGAGAGAGATAAGCATAGAGCATGTTTTTTCTTATAGCTGCATCCTATGAGTTTCCCTCCAGCACCATCTCCATCAGATACATGACGCTTGGGATGTATGACTGTTTTAGTGTTTTTGGTCGATAAAATTCCGTAATTAGGCCCATCATAATTGTCAGCACCAGGTCCAGTGTGCTCTTAATCCGGCCCTGCAAAGAGGTCAGGACAGCAGACAAAACAGTATGTAGATCAGCCGACTGGCTGCTACGGGACCCTTTCCCAGCCCCCGAATTATCAGTCTGAGTATTCAGCAGTCTATATAATTCGGCTTTCCTAGCCATAGCTGGGAAAGGAATGTTCCTCTTTCTCAGTTCGGCAGTGATCCTAGGAATGGTTCATGCCCTGAGTGATGCAGGGCTCGCGTTGTCGTCACCCCGGGATGGAGTGACCGATCTAGCCAGTGTACTGGGGATGGACAATTCTTCCCCGCCTTCAGGTATTTGTGACATGCTACAACACAAAAATAACATGTTACCTGGGCACTACCCATCTGGCTGATGTAACTAATGCCAAGTGGCGAAAGTATTAATTAGTAACGTGACGTGCTAGTTGCCAAGCGGCTTTGAGAGGCACTATGATTTGGTTTGTGTGGGGAACGTGGCCATTGGCATTATGGCGGGGTAATAGCATAAGACAGAATGGGGGTGACAAGTGAAGCCCTCTCTATGCAACGAAGCGAGGCGGCTACCTATGAATTGGCCCGACGGAATGCCGTACTTCCGAAATGAGGATGGGTGTTGGTCTCGCGGGACCACTAACTTAAGGCGTAGAAGGCCAAGAAAAACATACCTAGAAGCTCCTATATTGTATGCCAGTATATCTAGCTCATTACCCAAAAAGGGTAGGTACGGTGGGAGAATTTATCGAGAGCAACATGACGTACCTTATGAGCAAATTGCCAGGTATTAGGATAAGGTGATACAGGTGATCTGTAGTAACCTACGAGAGTAATAGTGAGTTTCCAGGGTTATATCAATATCTACCCATCATTCCCCCTGCAAAACAAGATACCTACCGGAAAATATTCCAACAATAGAAGACTGGAATCAAACACTCCAACTGAGCAAGGATGCCTATGCCTATTAATACAGAAAAATATACATAAGGACCCAGGTCTTGCGAGTCCATCAGAGGATCATTAATCGTGATTACTGACCTATGACAAGTAAACAGTTGATAGGGTAGCAGCACCTTGTGGATGCTGTGATACTGACACATAAGAGGATCATAATCTCTAAATTGCTAACCTTGCCCGACCGTAAATATCTGCATTATACGTAATTACCAAACATTTAAGACTCCTAAATGGTTAGGCTATGATGTACGTGCTTAGATATAACTGAAGTAAAAACAGAAAGTAGACCCCGAAAGTCAAGGTATCACATTTCTTGTAACCCTCCTGTTGACCACCGGGTTTATTCAAGACATATATCATAATAAGCACAAACAAACTACTGCTGCCAATTCCATCAGGATAATTAGCACCAGTAGCGTTTTTATGACATATGTCTTCTTATCCTGTGACCATTGCCCAAATATTAAATGTAATTATGACACATGTCATAACCCTTATGACCACCAGGGGTCAGTAAGACATTTTAACCCAATTCAGACCATATGGTGATAAAGTGTAACCAGGAGAAAGGGGAAGCAGGAGAGAGAGAGAAAAAAAACAAAACAGAAATAAAGGTCCAGCCACTAGATGTCGCCCTAATACATATAACCATCTTATAATCTAATATTGAACAGCGTTTCGTTAACCGAACGGCCATAAGATAGCCCGAATATGCAAAGTCTATCCCAACCGAATAAACCCTGTTCAATCATTCCCATATGCATATATGCCATACCCGAACGCCGGCATTTGTTTTAAATATGTACCGAACAAGTGGTACAATGCGTGCGCCCGTCGACAATTGAGGACGAAAAATGGCCGTGCCGAAACTTGCGGCGGCCGTAAGACTTACGATTTTGCGACCTGGTGCCGCCACGAGAAGCCCTGCGAAAACCCCTTGCCTGCTTTCAAGTTAGACAGCCAGAAACCGGAGGAACAGGACACGTTGGGACCCTGGAAGCTGCCCACGAGATGCAGGTACGCAGAATGGAGTCAGGACCGACTGGAAGTGACGACCTCTCTCCACAACTCACCGGTCCTAAGACGGTAGTGAGGGAAGGGCTGGTGCTCCTTAAGAAGGGGAACCAAGCCCCTCCCACAACTTCAGGCCCCGCCTTCTATATATTATTATATATATATATTTTACTTTTTAGCAGCCTGGGGGACTGTCTGACAGCTCATACAGTCCCTCCTAGACTCTTATTGCGGCGATGTGATCATGGTGATCACATGGCCCTAGAGGACCGGAGCTGCTGCAGGGGGACGGCAGGGGTCTCCGGCAGTCCCCCCCGACCATGATCGCCGCCGATCGCCAGTCCAGGGCTCCTATTTCCCGCGGTCCTACTAGGTACGTCCGCGGTCTTTAACAACCGTTTTTTTGTCGGTTAAGGGGATATGCATAGATATATACAATTTCATTCTAAGTGTATTGTAGAATATTGCATATTCAATATGTTCCTATTCAAATACATATTGAGGTGTGGCTGTCTAATGGGTTAAACAGAACAGATGGTGTTTGCTATTCTGTACCATGAGGTCTCTGGAATTTGCTGTATAAGAGATTTGAGGTGGTCTTTATATAGGGAGCTTCCTTATATGGCAGAGTCTAAACTAAACGTTATGATGTAATTTGGGCTATATAGAGCCTAGGACAAAGGACTATAGTCTCTCTCTTCCTCCTAAGATCCGTTTTGCTCTCCTCTCTGATGTCCTGAATTGCTGATACAAAGACGACTCTCTGTAACGTCGTTAAGAAATACCATCTGTTAAGTATATTATTGTTTGCTGTTGAATGTAGAATAAATACTTATTTTTTATAAAGAACGTCAGATTGCGTATTAGTACTTTTCAATAATATAGATATATATTATTGTGGCGAGCCTGACCCAAAAGAAGAAATATCTATATATATAAAAGACTATTCAACTAAAGAAAAACACAGCCAGTTATTACATGTATTTTGATCTAAATATATAAATATATATATATCAAAATACACATAAAATAAAATTACAAATATATATACCGGTAATTTTAAAAAAAATATTTTTTATTTAGCCTAGACAGTCCCCCCTAAGAAAACCGATCACCGGTGGGGTAACGGCGGCAACCTGTAAGTACATAGGAGAGGGAGCGAGGGAGGGTATGGGTTATATATATTTTTTTACTTTTACTGAGTGCCTTGCCCCCTCTTGGTACTCAGTACAGGCAGAGCATCGGAAGCCTGCCTGATGGCTTCCGATGCTCTGCCTTACTGCCGGGCTCCACGTCAACATCGAGGCATCGTTGCAATACCATTAGAGCTGCTGGAAGCGATCATGATCGCTTCCAGCACTCTAATTCACCACGGACATATCAGGTACATCCGCGGTCCTTAAGAACCGTTTTTTGTCAGACGTACCGGATACAAGATTTTTTTTCCCCAGGAATTGTAAAGTGGAGAATTGGAAGAAGGCAGATGTGGTTCTTATATTCAAAAAGGGTTCAAAATCTTTTCCTGGAAACTATAGACCTGTGAGCTTAACTTCTTTTGCTTGGCAAGTATTTGTAGAGCTATTAAGGGATAATATTAAGGAATTCATAAGGAAGAACAGTGTTGTTAGCAATAAGCAGCATAGTTTTATAAAACGTAGGTCGTGTCAAACTAACCTAATTGCATTCTACAAAGAAGTTGAAGTATAGATCAGGGTGTTGCAGTGGATGTGATTGTTGGGGAAAATATTATGTATATATCTGTTTAATATGTGCTTGATTAAGTCTGTGTGTATGGGAGGTCAGGAATTATCTTCAAAGGGAGCAAATTGAGCTGAGGAATTGCCTTTTTACAACACGGGAACCAATTCCTTTAAAAATAGAAGATACTGACATCACATTAGATTAGGTTTGGTAAGACACACAAGCTGCACATAACATGCACAGCACATACACAATGTAGCCAATATTATTATACACAATGTAGCAGATAGTATTAGATAGATGGAATGTATGTATGCGTGTTATGAATGTATTGTAACTCTGTAATACTATAACTCTGTAACATTCTTCTTCTGTAATATTCAACTGGGCAGATTCTAAGTAAAGATTTCTCTCTGGTAAGAACTATGGTGTTGGCTGTTTATTTGTAATATCGGGTAGAATACCTTAGTAGTTCTAGACATATATTTATCTGGACAAGGGGATAAAGATATATGTTAGTTCTTGGAAGAGGTTACACAGGGATATTACATTCACTATTAATAACACAACGCAGAGTGGATTTCTCTCAAAAGGATACCAATTGGAAGTATTGGTGGTGAGAGAAGGATTATACAACACTTCCCTTCACCCACCACTGGTCCTATCCAACCCAGCACCCATCTCAGCCCCAATGCCCCCTTCACCCATCCCAGCCGCTATGCCCTTCTTTACCCATTCCAGCCCCTATGTCCCCCTTTACCCACACAGCCACTATCCCACCCAGCACACATCACAGCCTCTATGCCCCCATTACACATCCCAGTCCTATGTCCCCCTTCATTCACCACAATTTCTATCCCACCCTGTACTCACCACAACCCCTATCCCACCCTGCATCCCCTACAGCCCCCCTTCACCCACCGTAGCCCCTATCCCATCCTTCGCCCACCATAGCCCCCATCCCTCCCTTCGCCCACCATAGCCCCCATCCCTCCCTTCGCCCACCATAGTCCCCATTCCTCCCTTCGCCCACCATAGTCCCCATCCCTCCTATTCCTATCTCTCCCTGTACCCACCATTGCCTCTATGCCTTCCTGCACACACCTCAGCTGCTATGTCTCTCTGTACCCACCTCAACTACTACAGCCCATATAGCTTTCTGCATCCAATATTGCGTTGTGTGTAGAGTGAGCTGATTGTGGTGTGGTATTGTGTAATAAGGTTGGTTTTAGTCATGTGTTTTTGGTGTAATGTAATGCATATGTGGCTAGGGACTGTAGAGAATGTGTGTATAGGGGATGTAGAATGTGTGTGCATACAGGCTATAGTGTGTGTGTGTGTGTGTATATATATATATAGGTGTTTGTAGGGGTTGTAGAGAGTATGTGTTTAGGGGTGTAGTATATTGACAAAAAAAGTATAATAGGCGCTCACTACACACTGATATAAAAAAAAAATTAACAAGGGCCACTTTTACTTTATTTTTTATTTTATCGTATTTATTTCACCATTGGAAAACGTTCTTCTGTCTTGCATATTGCCATCTATACGAGCTTTCTGGACAGCTGCACACACCTGCTCATATCCTTAGACGGGGATTATTCTGTCCATGCGCTGATACAGCTGAGCTCTGATATAGCTCATACAAATGTGAGTGGAATCACTATAGACCACACGTCTATTTTGGATTTGCACATATTGTATTGCACTATTATTTTTATCTCTGTTTTCTTTGAGGTTTTTAGTACATTCCATCCTACAAATCTGTGTACGTATATTTATCATTTATAAATGCTATTTGGACGCGGTTTTTTTTTCTATTTTTTAGCGGTGTAGTAGGTGTTTGCTTACAAGGAATCTAGTGTGTGTGTATATGGGATCCAGAGAGTGTATGAAGGACCCAGAATGTGTAGGAGATCTAGTGAGTGTGTGTGTATAATGGATTCAGAGTGTATATAGGGATCTAGTGTGTGTATATTGTGGCAAAACTAGACACTTAAGACTATTCATATATTGCATGTGTGGATATCCTTGTTTCAGCTGTGAGAACCAAGTGTAATACTGTATGTGGCTTTCAGACGAATGAAGGCGTTCGTACGCTTGCAAGTGGAAAACCCAGCATTCCTAATGTAGTTTCACGAACAGTGAGTTTCAACACTGTTCGTGAAACAAATAAACTACCCAATGGTCGACCACAAGAGGCCGTATGGCGCCCATTAACCGATTGCAACATTGTTGCAATCGGTAGTTAAAGGCTTCCCTAGGTGGCCGTTGTTCGAATACCGACCACGCGGCGGTCTGCCATCTTGGATCCTTTGTTAGCCCAGCTGTGTTTTGCCGTATAGCGCCTGTAACTAAACTCGGCTACTCGACGGCGTGAACACCACTGGACTTCCAGGCCGTTCGGGAGCCCCGGCCGTTCGGTAGTTTGTTCCCCTAATACCAATCGGTATTTTAACAATGTGTTAGAAATAATGTGTATTTCGTGCGGCGTTCGGTTAGTTAGACTGGGAGCTGAGCGGTATTCTCACGAACTGTGCGCTCAGCCTCCAGCTATGTACTGAACGTCCATTCGTGTAAATCAAGGGAATATTATTAAAGTTATACATTTTAATGTAACATGTAAGTTCTGTTGCACGGAGGGATAATTCCATTAACGGTATATTCCAGTGGGAGTGTCCCTCTCGTCCAGCAGTGCATGATGGGAGAAATGTATGTGTTGGTCAGTTCCCCATGTAGTCCCCTATTGTACCACCCCTGAAATGTCAGTAGGGAAACCCCTTGCATGGGGAATCCCATAAATACCGTGACCTGAAAATAAAACCTCAGTTGCCTCCCAGCCTATGTGTCGTCTGGTTCTTGGGAAGGAAGGATTCTTATAACGCTACCGGGATTATTGTATGCTGTTTTTATTTCCTTGGATTAATTTATGCTGTTCCTGTTACCCAGCGGAGATACTGTGGATTATACTACCTCTCCGCTACAATTGGTGGCAAGCGACGGGATTGAAACTACACAGCAAGCAACGGTCGGCAGAAATTGATACGAATAGAGGAGAAAGAGCAGCAATTCGGGAGTTAACCCATTCGCATGAAACCGGAGCCAGGAACGCATGGAAACCCGCGAACAGCCGGTGAATGGGAACAAATTATGCCCTTTTAAACCGAAGCACACTAAAAGAATTGCTTGAAGCAAGGGGAGCAATAGCCAGCAACAAAGCAAAGGCTACCCTGATTGCAGAACTTATGGAAGGAGAGAGAGCAGCAGCTGCTGCAGCACCTCCAATGGAGGAAGAACAAAATGAATTTGCAAAAGAATTCAGGATCAGAATGGCTCTATTCCCAGAACCACCATCTGCAAAGATGATCAACAGAC